GCCTACACTGACCCCCTAAGAGAAAGATGCCCATGGGGTAGAGAAACTGTTGGTGCCTACCAGGGACTCACATGCTCGCTGCAGGACAGGTCTTCTGAGGACAGGCACGTGTGGACAGTCCACTTAAAGGTTCTTCCTCTTTAGCCATGCTGAGATTTTCCCACCCAAGTTCTGACCCCAGCCTCACTCATCCCTTGGGAAGAGAGAGGAAGAGAGGGAAAGAGGGACAGAGGGAGGTCGCCCTCTTCTCCATTCTGTTTGCGCCATAGTTTTAAGATTTCCCTTCTCCACCTCCAAGACATTCACTGCGTCTTTTTCTGTTCTTTCTTTTTTCTTTTCTTTTGCCTCAATTCTGGCAGAATTTCCAAGAATCTTCTGCCAAATCCAACAGTTGTCACTGACAATAAGGATCCAAAGCAGGGAGAAAATGATTTTTTTTTATCAAATCAAGAACCATCTCTAGAAATATAATGGTATTTTCCAAAACAGATATTTTTATTTCATGCTAACAAAAAGAAAAGTTTAATGAGTGGCTCCATGAATTGAACCCAATCCCTAGATTTTATGGTATTTAAAGTTCGAGCTTTCAACTAATAATATGAGTAGTTTTGATAAAATTGTCCCTGAAATTTTTTCCAGTTCCAAATTATTTGAAACTATGTGCCATTTATAAAAAAACATTTTTATTGGTGGGAAGTACTAAAAATGGGGAGAGTGAAATTGTTAGGGAAAATAATCTACAAATAATAAATAATGACAAACTAACAAAATTCTCAAAAGATAATATCATCCTGAGACTTGTCCAGTGCGAATTCTATCTGTGGACCTCTTCAAATACGTTATTGTTATTACCATTTCCTGAGTGACTGGCCAAGCTTTTGATACTTCTGACCTGAAACGTTAAGTAGCCCTGTCCCTAAAAGTACAATTTTTTTTTTTTTTTTTTTTTTGAGACAGGGTCTCACTATGTAGTTGAGACTGACCTGGAACTCACTATGTAGTCCAGGCTGGTCTCGAACTCACAGCGATCCTCCTGCCTCAGCCTCCCGAGTGCTGGGATTACAGGCATGCACCGCCACGCCCAGCCCTAAAGGTACATTATTGATAAATCAATTAAACAAAAATACAGCTTCATGGTATGGTAGAATATAAACTAACTTTTCTCAAATATGTATAAACTGCAGCCTGACTAGGTAAGCAAAAAAGGGTAAAAAAGAGTCAGTGGTGGTCTAGTAAGCTAATGCATCAGTCTGGGATGGCAACGCCAAAGTGGGTCACTGCTGACTTCAAGAGATGGTGATTTTATGTGCTCAAGCTGCTTCCTCAACTGTTCTGAAAGTTTGTCCTATCCCCTGCCCTTCTCCGGGACTGGGTATTGAACCTGGGTCCTTCACACTGAGCTGTTTCCCCACCTCACTCCCACCTTTTTAAATTTTGACAAAGTCTCACTAAGTTATCCAGGCTGGGCTCCAACTTGTGATCCTCCTGCCTCGGCTCCCCTGGGTGCTGGGGTTACAGACCTGAGCAGGGCTGTGCCACCACACTTGGCTCTTGGCTGCACCCTACCTACAGACCCACACACATACACTGCTCCTCACACCTCCAGCCTAGTCATACACGAAAGTTTCTGAGTATCTGGAGAAAGAAAGTAGATAACTGGATACTTAGAGCTGAGGAAGAGGAATTAAGTATACTTAGGGTAAAGAAATATCCTATAGCAAAAGAAACAACAGGGTTGCTTTTCGGGGATAAAAATGTCCTAAAAACTGACTGTGGGAATAGATATAAACATAGATATAGATAGATATGCTATATATATAAATGAATATACTAAAAGCCACTGTTAGTCAAGTGTACCATATGTGAATTATGTATTAGTAGAGCTATTTTTAAAAACACGTACCTAGCTGAAGCCTGAGTGTCCACTTTGGAGGAGACTGGATGAAATGTAAGGCAGGGTGGAAAAGGAGGAGCAGAGCCCGAGCTACCTCGCAGGGATAAACCTGCTCAGCCAGGGCCCTTGCCCGCCTCTCCACTGAGCCTTTGCCTCCCTTCAGTCCAGCAGCCAGGACCAGGAAACATTCTTCCACCTCCAGGGAGTAGATCCCTCCCCAGGCTACTGAGCGCTTTATCAAAGCCTCATCAGAGTGGGAAAACCACACAGGTGGACGTGGAGGGGCGAGCGTGAGAAGCCAGTGTGAAGCAGGCTGCAGGGCCTGGGCTTGCCTCTCCCATCGGGAATACATTAACATGCAGATCTGGCATAGCAGTTTCCCCAAGCTCTTGCAACACACCTCCTGCCTGATTCCTAGCCAAAATTCTAATTAATAGCAATCCATATTTTCACACAACCCTGGCACTCTGAATATGCAAGCGCTTATTCAATGCTCCGGAGACCCCAAGCACCCTTTCCCAGAACATGGCTCAGTAGAAGGGCCTCGTGTCTGAGATGCAGACGGTGCCTCGCTGCCACCACCCTAACAGCGCAGCAGCTGTGCTTCCCCAAAGCCAACAAAGTGGGTCCCGTGCGCAGAAGACGCCTCAGCTCCCAGCCACCATCTGCCCGGCTGCTGGGTGCAGGCCTCAGCACAGAGAGACAGCTGCCCCTGACAATGGGGGAAACAGCAGCGCTTCCTCAGCGGCTTTGGCAACAGGGGAAAGAAATTCTCTGCAGAAAGAATATGCAAAATTGCCGCAAATTTCATATGCAACTGCTATTATGCCTCCTCGTAGCTAAATGATCCCACTCAGAAGGATGGGTTCTGTTTAGCAACTGTAACAATTAGGCACATTTATATAGAATAAGACTCTAACAAGGCTAAAAGACTATTGTCCTGGACAAAGAGTCTCTCCCACAAGCTCTACCATAATAAATGATACCTTTACAAAAAAGTAAAACCTCTTCCAAAACCCGTCTTTGCAGTAAAATGACTATCGCTAATTACTTTGTCGTAAGCACAAATAAAAATCTCTTTCCTCAAAATTCCTAACACTAAATAAATTACTGTAGTCAAAAAGATGTATTCAATTAATTCTTTATTAAGTGTGTTGCAAAATCGAAGTGATTGTTCTCAGGGATGTTAGGCAGTGCCAGAAAACATTTATCACTTAGCTTAGTAATGACAGTATTTACTTAGAAAGTTCTAAAAGTTAAAATAAAAAATTCAAGGATTACTTTCATAAGGCAAGTCTCAGAAGCCAAGGAAAACTATACACCAGGATTATGAAGGTCAGAAACCACAACCTCACCTAAGGGCTTTTTACAGCAGAATCCCAAGCCCTAGCGTGGCCCCCTCCTTCCTAACATGCCTGTCAGCCAGGCTCCCTGATGACTGGCAAGGCATTAATGGACCACTGGTCCCCAGCGTGCTGTGCACAAAACAATCCATTAGGAACATGGGAGAAGAATATTAAGATGCTTATTACTAATCGTACGATTTTTAAATCTATTTTTGTATCCCCTATCCATATACCTGTATATAATTTATAAATAAATACATCAACTGGGGGCACATGCTCAGGAAGGATTGGAGACTGCTGCTGCGGAAGGCACAGAAGGGTCTCAGGTTGGGAGGGTCAAGATCAGATTTGCAGTGTGAGAGGCAATCTGGCAGGGGTGTGGCAGGTTGATGGGGGACTGCAAGCCAGAAGGTGGCAAGACCTGTTAGGTTTTCACCGTGATTGAATTTGAAAAGGAAAAGAAGGCCTGAGCCTCTGGGTACCTTATGGGCCCCTGTGCAGAATGCTCCACTGCAGTTGCCACACTTCCTTTCAGAGCTCTGGATGAGAGTGAAGGTCTTCCTGGGTCTTCCCTGGAAGTCGGACTCCAGGCTTCAATTTGCCTATTGAAGAATCTAGGACCCGACCCTCAGTTTGCTTTAGCTGATCATGGTCGTGCAGTTTTGCAGCCTATCCTTGCCTTTTCCCTTCTCCAGGAGGTTGTTCCTGACCCGAGAGGACTTTTTGCCCCTCCAGAGGCACAAAGAAGTCAATGGCTTCGGTGGATGGAGGTCCTGGAACCACCACAAGGTGCAGTCCTGGGGCCCACCGCTGTACCCAGAACCCCTGGCCTGAGCTCAGCACCATCAGGAATGCTGGGTGTGCTTTCATTTCAGTCCTGTACTGCGTAACCACCGCACCACACACGTCAGCTTTTGCTTTTGAGTATTCCACATGCTCCCAAGCTGCACCTCAAAGATCCATCCAAACGGAGGTGAGGACCAGTGCAGCCCAGACACCCACAGGTTGGAAGGGAAGCCAGCCTCTGCTCAGGCAGGCGTGTGTCTTTTGGCTGCTGGGTCCAGCTTGGGGATGTGTAGGGAGCTCCACAGGGAGTGGCCTGGCTTAGGGGGACATTTTTACTAAGAGGTAAGCAAATACTTCAATATTGCAGCAAGTATAGTCACGCTGATGTACATTCCACCAGAGGAGGGCCCAAATAGGTGGGTAACGTTTCGCCACTCTGTTTGTTTTCTTCCATTTTCTCTCCCTTCTTAGCAGAAGACAACATGTCCTTGGGGCCACAGGCCCTGGGGGGCTTTGGCCACTGGGGAGGTTACTGGAGAAACCAAATACAGAGCACACACTGCCATAGAACCTGTCTCAGAGGTGTTATCTGAGCACAAATAGAACTATCTTAAAAACCGTAATGTACTATATAGATTCCCGACTCTCCAGCTAGCACTGAATAAATGTACATTTTTCCTCCTAATTGTTTTCAGACCACTGACTAGAATTACAGCATGAAAAGGCCGCTGTCATGTTCCGTATACATTTTTAATAGACATCTTTAAACATTTAGACAAAATATTATTTTTAAATGGCAATTCTTTAACTGGTAAATGTAATTACCTAACTTTAAAGAAAAAAGAACCCCTGACAATCAAAATATTCTGTCACTGCTCTACCGAAGCACCTAAAATATCTTTTCAGCAAATGAAATGATTCTTTATTTTATGCTTTTAAAAATGCATTAGGGTAATTGCTTTGCAAAAAATCACCTTCTCTGCTCCAAGCGTGGCTGCCACGTCCCTCACGTGTCCATCAATCGTGCACACTGTCATGATATCCTGATGATCACCAGGGGTGAGTCCCCCTAACAGCATGTTTATGAGAGTATTCAGTTGAGCAATCTGCAAAATAATTATATTTCAATGGAGATATTATACTGTGAAAAAAATCTATTATATGTCAAGTGCTAAATGAAGCAGTTATAGGACCAAGACACATTTATTGGTGCTTTTTAATCAAAGCAAATAACTTTTGCAACCTGATCATTCCATTGTTTTCTTGCTATTTTAATTTGCTTCTTTAATAACGAAAATATACTTTTCAACTAGCAGCTGCCACTTTACTTATGCATGAACACAACACAAGACTTCCTTTTCATATTCTTGGTTTACCAGCTCCCTGTTTCCCCAAAGTCCTAGGGCACAAAATGTACAGAGAAGTCAGTAGCCCTACAAAGCTTGTCCTGAAGTACACAATCCCCTTAAGTCCAAAGAGAAACCAGGAGACCCTTAACCCTATCCGCTGGTAGCAGGAGAGCTGAGGAACTTTTTGCCCCTGTTTTGTTGCATCTGCTCCTCTGTAAAGTTTAAAGTTCAAGCAAAGGAGACTCTTTGTGGGCTTTGCATAAAACGCCAACGTGCTTTCTTTCACCATGCCACTCATCACCGCCGCCACAGCAGGAGACCTGAGCTACCTCTCAGGACTAAATTTCAAAAGGTACATTTGTATTTCCAGAAAATGCTGTGTCTATAAAGAAATCACTTCTTTAAACCTCAAAATGTAATATAAAGCTGTGAACTCTAACAATGAATCTCCCCAGACCTCAGCAAGTCTGACCACAAACTCCGTGCCCTACAGCACTATGGACTCCTTGTGGGAACACAGGCATGTGTCCTGAAGGCTGCTGGTGCACCCAGTCCAGGTGTGTGTGTGCTATTAGTGTTTGTGCCCACAGTACTAATAGCAGTCCTGTGAACTAAATCTTGTCACCATCTCTGTTTGAAGATGAGGCAATTGAAACCAGAGAGATGACGGAACTAGCCTGGTCACCTAGCTGACTTCCCTTGCTGTCCCCTGTAGATGCTCAACTGATGTCTACTGAGAGCCACAAACCTACCTAAGTCTTCTTCCACGTGAAACCTGCCACATCCTTGTCTCTGCAGGCCCCAAGTCTGAGCGCTGCTCAAAGTCACTCCAGTAGCAAAGCCCAGCCCATAACGAGGTCACAGGAAGCCAGAGCTGCCAGGGTCTGCCAGCTCCTTTCCCCTGAGGCTCAACAAGTCCTCAGCCTACAGAAAAGCTTAGGGGTTGCTCACCTTCCTCCTCCTACCTATAATCTTATTTGCAGAGAAGATCCATTTGAAATCCCATTCAAATCTCATGCTAGGATTTCCCTTTCTAATATCTGCCTGTTTTCCAAGCAGGAAGTGTGACTAATCACAACATTGTGATTGGAAGAGCCCGCAGAGGGCTCTCAGCGCCAGGTCTGATTAGACTCTGCACTCTTCAGGCTGTGCGAGCAGGGCCTGCAGGAGGGGGGTGCTCTGTCACCACTTCACCCCCAAACCTGGCACCCTAAGCCACAGCAAGGAAAGAGAGGGGTGCTGCACTCCAGCGCAGGCCATCCCAAGACAAAGCCTCTGATTCTGCCACTTGCCACCTCCTTCTCCCACCCTGTGGCCGCCAGCTCTGCCTGCCTGTCACCATCTGAGAGGGATACATCGCAGCGCCCACATGCCCCAGGTTAGTACAGGTCTGGAAAAAAGGGACTGTGGATTTGAAGCCTTTCCAGAACAAAGAAGGTCAAATGGTGCTAGGTGCTTAAAGGGGGAAACCAGCTTGGGCATTATGGTAGCTGAGGGGTGTGAATGTGCACACGTGCGAGAGAGGGAATGCGTTTTGTGTGTGTGCACCGTATTCAAGCATGTGCATGCCTTGGGCCTGGGGTGGAGAAGGTCCAAGGAATGCAACCAGTGATCTGATCTCACCATTCCGAGAGAAAAATAACACTGTAGGAATTCAAGACACCATCTTCTCCTGGGGAAATCACTGAAATTTCAATCAAGAATTTTTTGTTTTGTTTTGTTTTGTTTTTCTTGTTTGTTTTTTGAGACAGGGTCTTACTATGTAGTTGAGGCTGACCTGGAACTCACTATGTAGCTCAGGCTGGTCACGAACTCACAGCGATCCTCCTGCCTCAGCCTCCCGAGTGCTGGGATTACAGGCATGCACCACCATGCCTGGCCAAGAATTTTCTCCTAAGGATGATGAGCGTCATGTCTCTTTATAACAGGAATATTGAGCACTGACTACATGCCAGGCTGTGTAAGCATTTCACATGGCTCCCAACACCCATCCTATAAAATATATGCTGTTATTTCCATTTTTCAGATGAAGAAACTGGGACTCTGAAAGGTTAAGTCATTTCCTCAGTGATATGTAACTAATAAATGGTGAAGCTGGAAGCCAAACTTGGCAGTCTAGGTGTAGGTCTAAAGTCAGTGCTAATATTCATTTCAATCCTAGTATTAAGACACTGTGCTCACTAATTACCACCACTTTCACTCCCAGATCCATTATTGACCCCCAGTTTCACAACAGTATCGGGACCAGGCCAGAGGTTCTTGGGCATGGGTGAGTGAAAGACCGCCAGGGAGCTTGCCGAAACGTAGTTTGGGGTGGGCTGGGTGTAGCTCAGCACTAGACTGTGTGTTTAGCATGCATGATGCCTTGGGTTCCATTCCTAGCTCCAAAAAAAACCAAAAGTATGAAATCTTTGCTACATCCTAGTGATTCTGATTCCTTTTATCTGATACAGGTTCTAGGAATTGCACTGTCCGCTAGCATTCTAGCTGGTTCTGGAGCAGGGTGCAGACGTGTCTTCTGTAGGGCTCAGAATCACAGGCCAAGCTAGCTTAGATGTTTCTATTCCTGTTATTCACAGGCATCATCCTGCCTCTGCATTCCCAGTACATGCTCACTAGGGATAGGAGCATGTAATTAAGTACGAGACTAAAATACAGCAAAATTTAGAGAAGTAAATTTTTTTTTTTTTGGTAATTCTAAAATTGGGGGGGGGATAGTCTATTTCCTAGAATCTCTAAATATATCAAAAACAAAAAGCAAATCCAGGCTGTGGATGTGGCTCAGTGATAGAGTGCTTGCTTAACACACACAAAGGCCTGGGTTTGATCCCTAGCACTAAAAGAAAAAGGCAAGCTGGTGTATTTCAAGAGACTCTCAGCTCTGTGAGGGCAGGCACAGTAGCTAGCATTTACCAGACCCGCAATACATGCGGGATAGGTAAATGAACGCAGGATGAAGTCAACCTCGGGGATGTGGGCATTTCTACTTAACATTAAGGACACTTGAGAAGCAAGGCTGCTCGTCTTAGCCCTGTTGATAATTTGACCTGACAGCCTGTGTCACAGGGGCTTCACTGCATCATGGGGTTTTTACCAGCATCCCTGACCTGCTCCCACCAGATCAGGAGCGACTGCTCCCTGTGCAGTCCACACACCCCAAACTACAACTCCAGACATCACCAAGCGGCCCTTGGGTGGCAAAATCATCCCTGGTTGAGAACCACTGCTTTAACAGAAATGAGAAAAGTCCTGAATATTTTCACTGCTTTAAAAATACCTGATTTCTTTCAAGCCCTTATCTCTAATAACATCCTATTCTTTTCCCAAAAAAGTTTTTTCTTTTTTTAATGACCTCAGAAACTTGGAAACTCTCCAAACCATTTTAGGACACTTTTCTAACGTGCTTTTGAAAGGAGATAAAAAGGTACAACAATGTCAAATTTCAGAACATGGGTGAAGAATAAATATAAGAAATTTCAGAGAGGAAAAAATCTATATCTTCTCAAAAGAGAAGAGTCAGAATGACATAGGACTTCGAGATGCTAGAAGATGTAGACAAATAGAGTCAAAACTCTGGACAGTTATTTTCCATCTAGAATTATTTACTGAGCCCAATATTGAAATATGAGGTTTGAATAAATTTAGTTTTAGACACACAACTAATTTAAAACTTGGCTTCCCACACACCTTTTCTTAAGAAACTTCTAGAAGATGCCCCCCATTAACTAAGAGAATCATCCAAAAACACGAGCCACAGCAAGAAGGAAATATAACATGAGGAAGCAGATGTGTGACCTCCCTGACACCTGAGTGCACCCAGTCCAAATGTGAGGGGGGATGGGTAACTGGGTGACAGAAATCTGTGGAAGGAACACAGTGTTTGTTTGGTGGACACATAATACATAGATACTATCTGACAGATCTGTTAGCAAATTTTGAGAAACTTTAATGACATATGCTTAGAATCAAGCCAGGGAAAAACAAGGGCAAATATTTACTTCAGAAAAAAAAAGCTAGTTTAGGGGGAAATAATTATATAACATAACTATGGTATATATCTTTGACTGAGACGTCCATGATATAAATATATGCTATAGTTTGAAAGTGCCCCATCCAAAATTCAGGTGAAACTTCATCTCCTTGGTGGTGGTCATAAGAGACGTGTTAATCACTTCAGGGAGTTGGTTAAGCCGGGAGGGTGGAGCTCTTGTGAACAAATTAGTGTCTAATAAAGAGCCTGCAGAGCTAGCTTGGGTCCTTCCTCACTCTTCTGTTCTTCAGCCACACGCAAACACCTGACAAGACAGTTCCACCTATGAGGACAAGACCTGCGCCGGAAACCCAACACACCATCACCTTGGTCTCAGACTTCCCAGCCTGTGGAACTGTGAGAAATAAATTTCTGTTGTTTATATTACTTTATCTAGGGTATTTCATTATAGCAACAAAGGGATTAAGACAGTCTAAGGGATGTGGGTAAGAGAGGAGGGAGGGAGGCAAGAGAGCTAACTTGTTATTGACTCACTACAAAGTCAACAGATAAAGACTAAAACATGAAGCATCGATATGATCACATTTTTGGAAATAAAAGGGCAAATACCAGAAGGAAAAAAAAAAACACATAAGCGAGAGTTAAAAATGGTTGGCTCTGAAGAAAATGACTAGAGATGGGGGAGGATGGGTGGCAGAGAACTATTGCTGTTTGTTAGAAGCCTCATGTCCCCATCTTTAGCAGCTCCCAAAAAAAAAAA